CAAATTAACTTTCTTGAGGGAATATTACTGGCCTTTCTCTTCCCAAAGGTAGCCAACCAGGAGCCAGGATGAGAGGGAGCCAGCTAGATCACTTGAATTGACGACTAGGTACGGAGTATTAGGTACCTAGTAATATTGATGTGCCTTCATGTGCCTCGTGAATCTGGTTGTGTTTTTGGTAATCGGCTCCCACTTGATCTACTCCTCTTCATTGTGAAAAGCGAAGAGAGAGAAACATCCACAATAACCAATATGTGAAATTCCTGGCATATCAACCCTCCACCTGGCATTTGCGTGTCCCGTGCATAGAATAGATACTCCGTACATACATTCGTGCGGAGAACCCTAATCGGGCGGTTTCTATTCTTGTATTCATCTCGGGAACGCAGGTACTGCACTGCAGCTTAAGCTTGCGCTGCTTGCTGCTCACTGCTTGCTACTTGCTACTTACTACTTGCTACTTACTACTTGCTACTTACTACTTGCTACTCGCTACTCGCTACTCGCTTGCATTATCAGTTGCACGTTTGTAATATTCTATTTGATCCTTCTCATGTCATCGACATGGATGCATGAATGCAACGTTTGTAACATCTTCAAGGCGTGAGCTAGTCATTTCAATCTTCGCTTCACCATAGCTTCAGATTGCTTTGGATCATGAGAACTTCATTCAAGAGTTGGCAAATTCAATGATCCTCTTCGTAAACTGTAAATTGTAAATTGTCACGGTCATCCTACTAAATTGAGGATCTGTACCGATTACCCTTGTCCACTCCCTCCCCCTCCCCCTCTCGCTGTACATTAAAATATTGAAATGTGGGATCCGTATGGAAATGATAAATCAAACCATCAAATATCAAACTTCTTTGATTTGCTCATCGCAACTCTGTCGTGGTTTGTAACCCCACGTTCAATCTGCAATGCCTATCATTTTCTAACACCGAAATGACTACCTCAAACTACCTGATAGAGAGCTTCCAAGCGATGTTTGCCGTTGGATGAAGTCTTGCGTGCATTTGCCGGTGAGAGATCATCTCTGCAAGGAACCTCATCTCATGCCTTCTTTTTCTTGTTCGTCAGAGTCGGTGAATGATTATGGAGAGCACCTGTAATCAATGACAATCATCAACGCGAACTACATTTCAAAAATGGGGGGCTAGCCGATGGAGGGGAATGGAATCATACCTCCCCACCTGACAAGCAACTTCCAAGGAAAGTTTAATTATCAGAAGACAGCGAACGCAATGGCCAGATCCAACATAGGAATGTATTAGAGGAATGTATTAGAGGAATGTATTAGAGGAATGTATTAGAGGAATGTATTAGAGGAATGTATTAGAGGAATGTATTAATCAGTATCTTAATTAATCTTTCTCGGGGTCGGAACATACCCATCTCGTAGTACTGTAGATCCTATTACATCCCAGCTATTACCTCCATGATCCATCATAACGCATAATCACGACTTTGAAAAATCCTATCATGTCACATCATATCGGGGGAATGGATCATGGAATATCCCCAGAAAGGTCTCCATTATACGTTTCCTTGGCCGAGAATCCCGGATGGCGACGACAATCCATCTCAGTAGGAGGACTAAAGTGGCGACCTTTAGATAGGTACCTAGGTACGATCCATATAGGAACGGACAATTTCAGTTTCATCTAGTTCAAATAGCTAAAGACCTAACGACAATGATTAGACAAAGATTGATCGATCATTGATATATCACTGCATCACATATAGATGAGGTTGAAGATAAAGTTACATATTACATATTACCTATTACCTATTGCCTACCTCGTCATTAATAGGCATCATATGATTTTCCAAATTTATGGAACACCAGAACATGAACGTAACCTCACATACATACCACCCACCTTCCTAATTATATTGGAACAAATTCCTAAACCAGCTATTTCCATATATTCTTTAAATTTCTAATTGCTTCCTTTTTCTTACTATTTTGTTTCGTTTTTAAATAATCCCAATCTCATCACTTGAGTATGAGATACGACCGGGAGATTGAAATCCCGTTCATCTTCAATGGGGAATGAATGCACTGTACTGACTGCACTGCACGGCAGACGGCTCGTTGTACAAATTGGGGAAATACACAACAAGCCATCCGGTCAGCGAGGGTTGATGCAAGATATTCTAAATATATCACAAACCATGTCCACTTCAAAAAGCCCAAACAATAAATCTTCCAACGACGAAACAGTCGATGATGACCTGACCCCAACCACACACAAACATGCGCGCTTATTCTGCTAACTGACTGGACCGTTGCTTGCTTCGCATGGAAACCAAGACCCACAACTCGGAAATGGCTGAGTATATCATGTCTTTGATTCAACATAATGGCAGTGCAAAGATCAAATCAGACATCAATATCTCACAGCCATGTAGTACGATGTAAGTAAACATGCTGACTGCTATTCTATTTCGACATCCTACTCCGGAAGACTGCACTCGACGAAGCCAGCATGGTCAGAATGGGTCAGAAAATAGAACCAAACGGGCCGCACCTCGCGCATATCTGGGTCTTCCGCGCGCCAACATACACGGATCACTCACATGTCCGGCAACAGCCTTGAATCTGTGGAGCCGCCTCATCGTCTATTCTTTTCTGTCGACGGTATCACAATCGAGTGGTCGCATGCTGCATACATACGCACGGCGCAAAGTCTAGACCGTGATGGTTCATGAGATTTGCCGGGTCTAATGAGCTTCAGTCTCGATATCTACAAAGATCGTATAAACTCAAAAGCTTCTAACCTTATCAAGTACCGTTTTATGGGTAGCTGAAGTTCCTACCATACAACTCTATGTCTACTTTCATCTCGTATCCTTTTGCAAAGTCACCGCTCTACTCATCTTGTTAGATCAAGATCACATATTGCTATATACCATCTAAACCTCTCATCTGTTCTTTTCAGTGTACAACTGTATCTATAGCCAGGGTGAAGACATCCGCAAACAGACATCCATAATCAATCTGTTCAGTTGGCCATCAATCGGAAAAATCTATTTTAGAATAGCATGTTTCTTGCGCTTGCCCGGTGGCCGAGAAAATGTGTGTCGATGGCTCCATGCATCTCTTCCTTTGGCTTCCAATTATCGACAGGGTGTCTACATCAATACTGACGGAGAGTGCCACCGGTGGATATCATTGTACATTTCTTATTTTCCGTTTCTTTTACTGCGGTTAGCTTCGCACGATCAAGTGTTACGAAACCTTAATCCTGCCACCACTTCATATGAAGTATAACAATACTTTATAAGCATCCCTTTGATTCTTTGTATCAATCTTGGCAAAAGGAATTCCATTTGCGACTTTGAAACTCTTGTTCCTTCCTTGCCCACTACAAGGTGGTAGATATCTCCCCCTTCAAATCAATTTGATGCGCCTCTCATGCAGACTGCTCCTTCTCCCATTCGGCATCTACTCATGGCCCCTTCCATACTCTCTTACGGGAACTAAAATCTTATGTAAGGGCCCGAACATTTCTATTTTCTGCCTTTGTTTCATGTTTGTTCGCAATTTGCAACTCTCTGCTTTCTCATTCGATTCTCTTCTACTTCGTTTCGTGCCATGTCCTTTGAGCGTTAACGGTTTTGTGAACGAACTCAATCCTGCTCCTGAGTTACTTGATTGTGAGTTTGATTAGCCCGCGCGAAGATGTGGAGTAGCATTTGTGGATCTTCTTGTTGCTCCCAAACTATTGGGGCCTTCAAATTATACCTCAGATGATACGAGAAGATGTGACAACCTCATTATCCACCCTTTCAGTGAGGAAGCCCTTATCTCCAAAAGCAAGCATCATCCACACTTTTTATGACAACTCCTCAAAATTGTTTCTTCGTCTTAGTCTAGTCCATAGATTCTTACCTTCCATCGTCTGAGTTGGAACTTGACATTGAATTTGACTTTGCTTTTCGTCTTTGATTTTGCTTTAGGATGATGTTGGTTTGACGTCGTCAGAATCAACTTTTCCACGCCGCATGTCGCGCCACTCGGCTTTTGTAATTCTACCAACGTGTAAATTGCATTTGTTCTTGTGAGTCAATCTGATCTTGTTTGCTCTTCTTGTCGCCAGACCCGTGTATGTCACTGCAGTCTCATCCTATCATGTCTCCAAAGACTTATTATATTCTTAAAAATCGCCTCCAAGTAATTTCTACACAGACCAATCCTTCTTTCCTCTAAACCTATCAGCTAACACAACATCCATCGTCACACAGCACAGCACACAGCACACAGCACACAGCACACAGCACACAGCACCCGGAACCAAACCCATTCCTTCAACATCCCCTTCCTATAATCATTCTGTATTCCAAGCCCCCTTTAACTACAACCACAACCCCAACCCCAACATACATCTGCACTTCTCCCAACCACTTCCCACATACCCCAAACAACCATCTAGTCTAGTATCCATCCATCAAGCCTATCCACTCCCTTCACACAATATATCATATCATCTCATCTCACCCCTCCACGGCACAGGAAACTCCACCCCCGTACACCCAATCAAAGTTCCCTCCTACATGATTCTCAAACAGCTTATGAAAGATGCAGAGAAACATACTCAATTCCTCATTCCTTTCACAATGCTCCCTATCCTCACGCTCCCTATCCTCGGAATTCTGCAACGGCGCCGTGGAAATGCATCTACGTTATTAGAGCGCACCGCGTTTAGATTCCGCAAACTGCTAGCGAGGCTCAGCGCAGAAAAATTTGGTCGTGTGATGAGTGGAATGGTAATACAGACACCAAGCCCTCGAGTAGAAGTGTTCCTCTCTCAAGAATAAAATAAAAAATACAAATCAGTAATTATTCCGAGCATTTTTCTTTTCCAGCTAATTTCATGTGAATACCATAATCCCGTTACGGAAGTTTACACTACCTACACCCTTGTACAAATTACAATATTGCAAAGGTAGGTAGTTCAAGAATGCACCAAATCGCACGTGGAAATCTCAAAGTCACCATCAAATTTTTGAATTCTGGTGCTATCTATCTAACAAAAGGTAGCGTAGCCATCTGCCTGTTTTAAAATATGCAGCTCTTCCCTGCATAAGATACCATTGCACCCTCATGCCGCGTGAATTACGACCAGCACACCGGCACAAACAGTGTCATTCGCAGAATAAGCATGCCTAGGGCAAATCTCGAGAAAAGCATAAAGTTTTTGTCCTTCCCTCTCCATTAATCGTATAAACCAAGTCCTTGTCAAATGTGTTACCTCCCATATTGTACCGCGCTATGCAGACCCGATCCATTTAACCACCATTTTGTAAACTCCATACTCCCTGCCATAACCCAACCTGAGCAAACGCCGGTCATTACCTGTTCGCGAGAGTAATCAGGGACCAATTTGTTAAAAGAACCCAACCGATGTTCCTCCTACGGTTACCAGAAAGGGAAAATCAGTTAGGAAAGAATGAAAGAAAGAAATATAAAACCACCCTCTGCCTCTAATGCATATCGTATTGTGGCTCGCATGCCATTTAGCTTTGTACAGTTAACCGCCCTGTCTCGATCCGCCCGACTGTCCTAATAGTCCTATCAGGTAAACTTGGATGTCCCTTTCTGACGGAGTAAGTTCTGCTAATTGAGTGGCAATTGCAACGGTAATGGTGTGAGCGTTCTTCAGACCAATATCGTACCAAAAATATCAACAAGAGACTCTATGCCTCGCATTTTCTTCCCTCGCCATGAGATTCCAGAATCACCCCAGACTTAGCGACAAGGCTAGATCTTTCTGTCGGTCCCTCCGCCGCGTTTTCCGTTCCAGGCTTTCGATTGGGTATATTGAATTAGAAGCCCATTTTATTTGATCTGTAATTGTTCATGTACTTGCTTCAATTCATCAAGAGGATTTCTTGGGATTTCTCCAATTTATCAAATCAACCCCAATCTTTGCAATAAACAGTCGTCAAAGGGAATAAATAAAGTGAAGCAATTTCAATGTGCCAAATAAGAAAGCCTTGCGCGATGCTCCTCGTGAACATTTTTCGTATATTGCGGGCCCAAGGTGGTACGGTGCGTAAATAGAAAGCGGAGGCGCGGAGAACATCAATCTTCTGCTCACCAACGCAGTTTTGTCCCACAAACTAACCAAAAGCTGGTGGTGCTTGAATAGCACCAAATCCACCATGATTGGGTGCGCCGTCTTCGGGTTTCATAGTACCATTCAAAAGGGGACAGAGTCTGAGGGTTAGGAAAAATAGTATGTCAGCAAATGATGATGTATTGGTGAAAAGGGCACAAAATTGAGCAAAACATAGAGAGGAGATGTAAATGGGTCCTTGGATACTTCCACTAATATAGGAAACAGAGCGGGAAATGGTTCGTCTCAGTCGGCTCCTTGAGCAAGAAAACAGAGCGGCCTCAGTGTGAGCACTTCCTAGCTGGAGCCTGTGATAGAACCTAGGTTGGAAAGAAAAAGGGACTGATTAATTGGCATTGGGGGCAGTACTTTTTGTTCGTCTTGATGTGACCCGTCTGGCCACAATTTGCACACTTCCTCGTAGTACCAGTTGGCTTTTCAATGCTGGAAACGGGAGTTCCGGATGGGCCAGGAGAACCAGGGTTAAGAAGCTGTTGGCTAGCCATGGATTGTTTGGACTTCTGCTTTTCGCGGGCGTGACGACGATCCTTGTTGCGCTCGAGACGGTCGAGTTCCTTTTGTACTCTGTGGTTACAATGTTAGTTGTGGCCTATTGGTATTGATGGAAGTTTCGAAGGGGCAAGGGAGTACATACTGCATCTGTGTAGCTCTGTCAAGATCTGCATCACCCGAAGGAGTAATGGCATAAACACTGAAAACACACTGTTAGCTATCGTCTTCAAGAGGAAACGCAAAAGAAATAAAGCAGGTTAGTGAGAATTACTCTGAATTGGCAGCCTCTAGGACCTTTTTGCGCTTGATATATTCCTTCCAAACGCGCATATCTTTGACCGTTTCGACCCGCTCTTCGGTTTGTCCATAATTGCCCACTTTGACCTTGCGAGTAATACGCATGAATTTCCCCGAGGGATTGTCCGTGTTACTGACTCTGCTGACTTGGCTAAAATTATCGTCGCCAGCTGCAGGAGTGGCCATGGAGTGTGGAGTAGGTGCCACGCGAAATCGTTCGTCTTCGTCGACTTCTTCTAATTCATTTGAGATGTGTTCGTTGGTATCTGACAAAGTCGACTTTTGCTTCTCCCAAATATCACGAATAGCGTTGTTGTAGAGCTCTTCTTGCTTCTTGACATTATAGGTATGCCCGCCGTTTGCCTTTCTCTCTGCGGCTATAGCAGCTGCGGATGTCGCATTTGGACCTTGAACGGCGCCAATGTAACCTCCCTTCATGGAGGTTTGTATCATACTGATTGCAAGCCCACATCCAGACGGATCACCATCGCCATGAAGTTCAAGCATTGCTTTGCCCGAAGTTGCATCCAAGAAAGCTTTGCTGGTGTTCCAAGGGGTAAGCTTGAAATCAATAGGTCGGTCGACGAATGCTTCATCGCCTTCCTCTTTTTCTGTCAATTCTGAAAGACCAGCATCTGCGAGATTTCTACATCCAACGTGCATCGCATCAATCATGCAGCAATCCTCTGGTTTGACTAAGGATCGCAAAGCAGCTTCATCGGGAATGATAGTACCTTCCTCAGGACGCCAAACTTTTTCATTCTTATCGTAGACTAGAATCTCCTTCAATTTTGCTCTGTTCTGCATGTCATTCGTGTCGGGAATGTGAGCAGTAAGCTCGGCTATTCTCAGGGACTTGGTGTTACTACGTCTGATTTTTCTGAAAGCAATCATCTTAACCCGATTCTTGGTAGCATTTGTAACAGTCCTCGAGTGCGGGGTTGGTACTTTGATGGACGGAAATTGTTGGCCTGCAACAAATAGATTATCTATATTGCGGAGGTGCCATGTTGTACCATGAACTCCCGTAGTACTGCGCACACAGAGGAAGTCGGTATTTTTAGGTTGGTGCTTGAATATTGGAGCGCGATACATTTCATTGTGCAGAGCTCGAACGGTTTCGCCCGGATCCACGAAACCGAAATTTGCGAACGGAGACTTATCCTCTGGCAGGAGAATAGTAGTGTCGCCAATCTTGTCCTCTGGAGAGGGTCTATCCTGGTCTTCCGCATCCTTACGTCGGTAATAGTTGATGATTTTGTTACCCATGCCGAAGTTTGAAAGAACTATAGGTTGTTCCTCGGAATATTCAATCAAAGTAGCAGTGGAGTAGAAGTCACCTAGCGTAAGGTCTTTTGATTCTTTGTAGACTTCTGCAATAGACATCGTTCTAGCTTCCTTCTTCTTTCGCATGCCTGGTTTGTCGAATGTGACAGGCTGATTGAGCCATTTATTGAATCTGAGGGTCGGTCGATGTAAGGCTCTGGCCTCCTTGGTGTATAGTTTGACCTTGTAATATGGCCATTGAAGACGTAATGCAGGAAGACTATGCTCAACGGTAAGGTTTCCAATAGCTGCTCTGACCTTACTTTGATGGTTCTCCTTGAGAGCATCGTAAGCTTCGTCGTTTGAAATATTGAAGCGCTCCCTTAATTTCGTAGAAATGATGTTGTTTCCTCCCCTGAAGTTTCCACCTAGACGTTGACGTTTGTTAGCCACCGAGGTGAATTTGAGCTCTTCTATAAGGAGGTTTGGATCGTTAAGATCTAAGAAAGGGCGCTTGGCCGATATCGCAACGGCCTTCTGCAGATTATCGAAAGACGGGACAGCAAATTGAGGGATATTAAAATAGTTCTTCTCTTCTGCCTTTGGCTTGTTCTTGCCTGAATACATGAATTCAAGCCAAGCATCGTCGTCTCCCTGCGTAACTGGGGATTTCGGTTGAGCCTCTATAGGTATCGCATTGATCTTAGAATCCCAGTCATCACAAATCATCTGAAGATCCGCCCAAGTCACCCCGCCAAGTTTCTCATCCTCCGCTGGCTCTTCGAAATCGAAAGTTTCCTCACTCTCTGCCTCATCAGCAGATTCTTCAATGATAGCAACAAGCCCTTTAGCTTCCGCTTCGGCCACGCGTTTGCGCTTATCGCCTGTCGCTGTTCCTATATTGCTGCGGAAAGATTTTTCTTGGTCGGGAGCGAGATCTAGGCTGACTTTTGTAGGATTTAAGGGTTTAGGTTGCTTCAGCGGTACTTTTGGGACAAAATGTGCGAGCTTTGGAGGTAAAAGTTCATTGAAGTTCAATATTACACCGGGCTCGAGACTTGGAAATAACTGCTTGGCCAAATCTGATTCGGATTCTGCAGGAGCCGGAATCGATAGATCTTGGTTGTTCAACCTAGCTTGATTGTAACCTGGAAAATTGAGCTCCAGTAAATCTTCTTCTTCAGCAGGCGCATCAGGTAATTCCTGAACTGTAGTTTCTGCAGCTTGTGATTCTCCATCTTGTATTTCGATATGTTCATCAAACCCGAATGGCGAAGAATCTCTTCCTTCTCCAAATAGATCGTCGGTATCATGGTTCGTGCCAGCATCATCGGTCAAGGCGGGCAAATCGACGGCGCTTGGTAGAGAAGCTTCCTCCTCCTCTGGTAAATCGTCATCACTGATGTCCTCGAAATCCTGCGCATCGTCTGCCTTCTCGCCCAGGTCCAAAGGTTCGTCGCCAAAATTAATCTCGCCATTCTCACCACTCGCCCTCAACACACTCTCCAGAGCCTTTGCGTCTTGTTCATCCTGGCGCTTCCAATCAATCTCAGTAAACTGAGTAAATTCCTTGGGTTCGGATTCGGATTCGGCCATCTTTGCGATTTGGCTGATCACTCCCAAGAGTGATGTTGTGCTGGAATGGTCGTGATCATACAAGTATCGTTTGCGCAAAAGGAATTATTGTTGAGAAGAATATTCCTTGAATTTTTTGGGTAACGTAAGAGTTCTGTGAAAGAGAGGTTGTCGTAAAAAAGTTGTCGAAGCTAACCAAAGTAATTATACAGTGGTTGAGATGGAATGGATTTCGAATGATATCTCGGAATTGCACAGTTGGCGTGTAATGTTATTCTATAATACAGTACCTATGGATAAGAAACCAATCACGGGACCGTATTCGCCCTGCGGGGAGGAAACAAGGCCACAGGTACTAGGCAAGGCAAGCTCGCAGGTAGGGGTAGATTTATATAACATCGATATCATCCACACAACGCTTCAAAACGCCAGACGATTCTCATCCCATTATGAGAAATTGTATGAACAGAAGAAAGGATTAATAACAAGAATAGTATTGATGAATAGATATACCTCCTACCCAGGTATTCGACGAAATACATTCTTTATCGTTATGCATGATGCATGGCATCATATCGCATCACCACACAAGCTCTCTATCCGCCCATATGCCCCACTACAAACCAAGTGACATCTGAAGAAATGTCTGAATCATAATTGTTTGATAGACATCTTGACAAGCCATTATAGGACTCGCCATAGTTCCGCCCTATATTCACATCTTTCATTTCTATTCTATTCAATCATGGATTTTACATCTCTAATCCCCTCTGCCTCAAAAGAAGAGCTTGTGAGGGAATACGTGGGCAAATCACTACACAATGTACCTTGCCCTGCAGTTGTACTTGATATATCGAAATTGAGAAAGAACTGTACCGATATGCTTGGGACTGTAAACTCTTTAAAATGCGGTTGGAGAGCCCACATCAAAACCCATAAGGTACACGTTCTTTCGGGAGTTCTTGCCCCTCATAAACCCCCGTCTTCTTTTCCACCTTATTTCATATCAGTAGTACTGAGCTTACTTTGAGGGTGGTGTCTAGTTGACATATCTACCCATTGTTTCGAATACGAAGCAATGCATGAACTGGAACTGTTATTATGCATATTCAATATTCATACTGACCAATATGGAAGACAACGGAATTGACAAGATTACAAATTGGAGATGGGCCTGGACCAGCCAACATCGTCGTTTCAACAGTTGTAGAGGCAGAGAATATTGTCCCTCTACTCCTCGAGTACAAGAGTAAGGGAAGGGCTGTCAATGTGAGTTGGTCATTGTTCCGTCTATAATCGGATTTTATATTTACAAAGACTAGATACTTTATAGCTTTCCCCTTACTTCAGGCGTAGTCGACCGATTATCAAAAGTTTCTACAGCTCTTGGGCCCAACGGTATATCTCTTATGATCGACCACCCATCGCAACTTCGCTCTGTCGCTGCCATCCATGAGAAAACAAACATACCGCCTCTCATTTTTATTAAAATAGACATGGGAGGCCACCGAGCTGGGTCATCCCCGGTAACAGAAACGTGCTCTCAACTAATCTCCTCTGTCATAACCCTTGCCAAGCGTAATGTATGCATTCTTCACGGACTATATTCTCATGCTGGACACTCCTATTCCTCAACTCTCAAAACTGCAGCTCTCGATTATCTTCGCCAAGAATTTGAAGCCCTCCTCGTTACATCTGAAGAGGTTCATTCGGTAGCTGCTGCTAAAATGCCTCTCGTGCTTTCTGTAGGGGCTACTCCAACTTCTAGTGCCATTCGTAATCTTCTCTTACCGTCAACTTCTTCCGAGGGATTAAACGAAATCTCTGCTCTGAAGGCTACCATGGGAGCCATTCGTGATGTGGGCTGTGAGATTGAAATACATGCTGGAGTGTATCCAATGCTTGACATGCAACAGTTAGCTACCCATGCATTGCCAGAAGATTTACTTAGTGTAAGACCATTCCACTCTCAGATTTGTCGTTATCATGTATTGACACACAAAGTGGTCTTCCGTCGCCATCACAATCCTCGCAGAAATCGCTTCACTCTACCCCCCTCGAGGCAAATCTGATTCACCCGAAGCCCTTATCACGGCCGGCTCCCTCGCTCTTGGCCGTGAGCCTTGCAAGGCATATCCCGGCTGGGGCATTGTCTCACCATGGAACCGCACTTCTTTTGCTTTGCCAAATACGGGTCCTGAAGGTTATTCTGGTGTAAGTATACCCTTTTCACTGAACTGTAAAGTAGCCGACACCTAAAATAACCACAGTGGCAAATTTCTCGAATCTCGCAAGAACACGGAATACTAACCAATCCGGGAAAAAACGATTCGGAACTCTCCATTGGCCAAAGAGTTCGCGTCTGGCCTAACCACGCATGTATCGCTGGGGCAGGATATGGATGGTATCTGATTGTAGACGAGAGTCGAACAGGAAAAGAAGATGAGATTATTGATGTTTGGGTAAGATGGCGAGGATGGTAGAGTGAAATTCTGAATCGCAGTCTTAGAGCAAGAGGTTTAGCTTTGTCATGAATTTCATTGTGCACATATTCTAGAATCGAAGGTATTATATCTTAATCTCAGCGCGCACTGGAAACTCCTTCAACGCCAGTCCAATTCCCACCTTCCACTTTCATTTCGTACCACAATAGATCTAAAGCATAACTTTTGGCTTCCTGCAATAATTGTGGGAATAGAAAGTAAGTTTATTTGCACCTTTTCTCCACAATACTGGCACCAAATTCCTCGGACTCCTTTCTTGAAATCCACATTTGATGGAAGGTTCCCAAACTTCCCAAGATACTACCTCCAATCCACGAACCAAATCTTCTCTCTTGTGTAAGACCTGCAGCTTGTAACTTGATTCTAGCACCCGGGTATAAAAGTGATAATTCGTTATTCAAACGATCTGTGAATCCGTTAAGTAGTGTGCTCCCACCTGTGACGATAATGTTCTGCAACAAATGCGACCGTAGATCCATATCAACCGCTGCAATAGAAGCCTTGATCATCTCGGGGAGGGTTTGAGCTTTTGTGGGAGCAGACTCGTTGTCTACAGGTAGCGCAGCCTTTTCGTCCCACATGCCTTCTGTAACATTGAATCGCTCTACACCCCACATCTGGTTCGAACCATCTGGCATCTCGAATACCCGACCCGGTTGCTGTTTCGCATAATCCACATTTGTGGTTAAAGTTCCGGGTCCGGTAGGAGCATTCAGACGATTTGGTCCGCTCCAAACTTGCACAACCGATTCTTTGAATTCTGTTAAGACACGCTCTTCTTCTAAAACGCGGAAACTGGGCGTGGGAGGAATTTTGAAGTTGCGGTAGGTAGCCTGGGCTGTGGCACCTGCGTCAACGGGAGTTTTGGATGAGATCATAAAATGCGGAGTGAGCTCGACTTTGGGTTCTACGGTGTTGAACATGGCGCGGATTTGGGAGGATACCCAGTTGCCAGCGAGAGGGGATCTCTGCACTGATTTCTTGAGTACAAGTCCATCGTGTACGGCGATGACTGATGCATTTGATGCTCCAACATCGACCACCAACGCTGTCGCCTTGCCGCCTCCAAATGCTGCGAGGACGCTGTTTCGCGCGAGCCAAAAGGCAGGGCTTCCCCAAGATTCCATAGCTACTTCAATAGCCTTCTCTCGAGATTTGGCTGTATTCCATGCAGTTTCCGTCATTAACAGTGGGTGTTCTTCCAAGGGTTTTTCGTGCGCATCCACATCCATATCAACCTCCATCTCCTCTGGTCGATCATTTAGTCCGTTGGTTCTAGGATCCGCCTGCTTGAAGCTCGTAAGTCGCGAAGTAATAGCATATTTCCATAACTGTTCCGCAGTATCCCAGTCTTCAACAATTCCATCCTTGTTCATTGGATTGCGGATTTCGAGGTTCGCGCTGGGGTTGTGAATCGCATTGTCGCCATAAAATGATTCTCCATCACGAACACCATAATGTGAGTTGATGAATGATTTGGGGGTATCTTCTCCTGCAAAGCCGGCGCGTATACTTGAGTATCCCGGGTCAATGACAATGGCTGATACTTCATCTAATTGATTTTGTTAGTAAAATGTTCATGGCCCTTTGAGGTGGGCTGGCTAAAAAAAGTATTTACCTCCTCCATAAACGTCAGTGGGTTGCATTGACGAATTCATTGTTTGTGATGCCATGACGATAAGAGAATATTGAGAACGGAAGGTTAAGGCAATCGAGTTTCAGATGATAGGAACCAAAATTATAAGAAGGCTGATAAGTTGTCGCGTCGTCGATCTTGTAAATAAATGCGCTCGAATTCGTGAAAGTTACAGTTTAGGTCTAGGCAACTTTAAGCGATGAAAGCTTCGGAATACGGAAGGTAGAAGCGATAGGCCTCCGGTGAAAATAGAACCCTTCTACGGTCTTGACCCAAACTTTTCAGAGGATTATTGAATTGAATTCTCACGACACACTTTTGGTTTGAATTCCATAAGGCTCCGGCTGATTTGACGCCCTTGTTCTTGTTCTTGTTGGAGTTGGTGATGGTGATACTAATTTATCTTATGCGTCTTACATGTGACTCGGAGCTGGAACAACATAATCCGAAACGCTTGGTGTCAGCATTTGCTTTTCATCAGATTCATCTCACCCTTTTCTTCGTGTCATTTGGACTCTTGTTGTATTATTAGCCAAGAAGTATGTATTTTCCGTGATTTCAAAGTATACTTGGGGAGATTTCCAGCCTGCTTTCTTTCCACAAACTCTCATTCTCAACATAGCACACACAGCACTCGCAATTCTTTCACATACAATTACTGTGTATCCATCAAGGCCCATGATGCAATCTTTTGATGATCTTAGAGCAGGGAAATACAAAGGAACAAGACGTTTGAAGTTATCATGTGGTCTCACGGAGTTCCCTCGAGAGATCTTGGACCTCTACGATACGCTCGAGATTCTTGATCTATCTAATAACCCTCTTGCGACACTTCCCAAAGAGATTCACCGACTTCATAAACTCAAGGTTGCTTTCTTTTCCGACTGCAATTTTATCAATTTCCCCAAAGAATTGGCTCAGTGTCGTTCCCTAGAAATGATTGCGTTCAAAAACAATGGAATGACTACGATCTCCGAAGGAGTCTTTCCACGCAAGTTACGGTGGCTGATCCTTACCAATAACAAGATTGAATCTCTGCCACACAGTATTGGAAACTGTCATAGACTTCAAAAATGCATGCTGGCGGGAAATAGCTTGACGTCTCTCCCTGACGAAATGTCTCATTGTCGGAAGTTGGGCTTACTGAGACTGTCGGCCAACAAGATCGCTTGTTTACCCCCTTGGTTGTTCAGTCTTCCTGAATTGTCATTTCTTTCGTTCTCTGGAAACCCTTGCACTCCATCAAATGAAGACAATCCAACATTAGATGATATTTCTTGGTCAGACTTGGAGATCGATCACCTTCTGGGAGAAGGAGCTTCGGGTATAATCTCAAAGGGTGTGTGGAAATCGTCTACAGCCGAAAAGAATGTCGCTGTCAAGTTGTTCAAAGGCGAGGTGACCAGTGATGGCGTACCAGCAGATGAAATGAATGCATGCATTACCGCAGGTCGTCATCCGAATCTCATTGATCCAATCGGCAAGATTCATGGCCATCCAGAAAAAAGAGGATTGGTACTTGAGCTCATCCCTCCTCACTTTACAAATTTGGGCCTTCCACCAACTATTGATAGTTGTACACGCGACGCTTTTCATCCAGAAACTGTCTTCTCGATTGAGAAATGTCGCGCAATTCTAATCTCTATCGCATCTGCGAGTAAGCATCTCCATGAAAGAGGAATCACCCATGGAGATTTGTATGCGCATAATATTTTGATCGATGACTCCGGTCATGCTCTTCTTGGAGACTTCGGCGCTGCGACAATATACCAAAAGGGTTACGAACATTCAGAGGCGATCGAAAAGATGGAAGTCTTCGCCTTTGGTCATTTGATTGAAGATATGTTGGGTTTGGTGGCGCGAAAAGTTGTTGCCGCGGATAATCTCAGTGTCTGGGATGAGAAAGAGGGGTATGCAATTGAGGAGTTGAACCAGCTGCATTACAAGTGTACCAACCCTATTGTTATGGATAGACCATTGTTTTCTGAGATTTGTAAGGAGTTATGCGCCTGATTAGATATAGACTTTGTTGGTTATTTGCCGAGTTTATTTTGACTTTCAAAATATTCCATAATTCAGATTTAGAACAGCTAGAAGGATGATAGAATACAGAAAGAATAGACAGGAAAGTATGCCCAAGGTGTCATATCTTCACAATTTATTTCTGTTCAATCGTTGGTCACTTTTCGCTTCTATTGACCTTTTCACCATTGCACTAGCGGCACAATCTACCTCATTCGCCTAGCAAACATATTTGAAAATCTCGCATCACTTCTCGTCAAATGGTGGTATTGAGAAAGCGACAATCTAGCTTAACAGTTAGACACGACGACTCGAGGTGCGCGCGGTATCTTTGTGGGGAGTATTCGATCCCTTCGGAGTCAGGGATACCGCGAAATAGGTCAACAGAGATGTAGCGCGCCTGGTGCACCGGGCGCGTGAACTCTTTTGCCAACTAGGATTGTGTTTTTTTCTAGGGATTTTACTAAATTTTTCATGGCGCTTTAATGTCTGCAGTTGTGTGTGGTGCTTGGTCGTTATGTATACTTTGGCCTTCGAGTATTATCATTTTTTGTATTGCTTTCTTTTGATAGAGTGAGCAAGTGGGTCTTATGTTAGGATAAAGAAGGCGGTGGCTTCTTACACTCTATTGTAATCGCAGTGCGGAGTGAATCTAGTTTGAGACGAGAACAAACTGAGATATGATAGCAAGCCTTGGAATTTCTGTCATGCTTCATTTAATACTTACGTACTCACTCTTGATAGTGGTACGTAGAGTTTCGATTATGAAAGATGCTCAAACTATGATTTTGTCATAGGTGTCAAATGTAAGCTGTATTGTGAGAGTACTAGAAAGTCGAAATGAATAATGTAACAGAAACCGCGGAGCCCACATTTGCGAGTGATAACTGCACGCGCCATGATGTTCTTGAAATCACAAAGACTGGCAGACTCCTTGTGTCAATCCTTTCTCATCACCTGTAGTAGTCAAACTGAATCAATTTATCATAGGTGAGCGGAAGATCTAGACTTCCAACGTCGTTTGGCCGGTGTTAGGAGATAAGATATCCAATCACGACCATTTGGGATCGCATAGTTCCACCCAATCAAATCACTCTACCTACCATGGCAGATGACCCACCTTAGGGAATACGATATGAGGTTAGCTTTCGCCTTACGAATATGAGTGAGTACGAAAAGCGATTAGCCTGAATTCTAAACATCCTCAACGAGACGATACAACGGCGAATATCGACTACTGTTAGCTGATGTCGAGCATAATGAAATCTCCGTTTCCTTGAATTTTATGAATTTCTTCGGGGTTCAAATTGAGATGACTCCGAACTTCCGAAGTGAGGTAGGTATAAAGGCAAAGATATGGCATTCTCTTTACTACACAGTTGCATCGTTTTCAATCAACTATATTCCAGAAACATCGTTTGAACATCTCTCATATCATAATGTCATCAACAACAACAACAAATTCACAGCATCTTGCTGCCATTATTCCCGAGAAGGGCGGTCCCTTTGAAATAGTTCATAGACCCACCCCGATTCCCGGTCCCAAAGAACTCCTCATAGAGGTTCACTCAATTGCGTGTAACCCAATCGATCATTATATGCGCGATCACGGGTTGTTTTGTGCTACCTACCCCGCAATTCCCGGATCTGATATTTCTGGCGTCGTTGTTTCTGCCGGCCAATCTGTGCCAGCTGCTGCACCGAAAGTGGGAACACGAGTAACCGCTTTTGCACCCGCATTCTTCACAAAAGGCGATCCAGATTATGGAGCTTTTCAGAAGAAAGTTCTTGTGCCAGCTTCAAGTGTATGTCCATTGCCGGACGAAATAAGCTTCAACGAGGGAGCAATTATTCCAATGGCTGTGCAAACTGCGATGGCTGCTTGGTATTCCGTTGGCTTGGCGCGTGATACAAAATTTACACCTTCGGATAAGAAAGGAGCTTTGGTATGGGGTGGAAGCAGCAGCGTTGGAGGGGCGGGTGTACAGCAAGCCGCGAACATGGGATATGTGGTATATGCAACTGCTAGCCCACACAATCATGAGTATGTCAAGAAACTCGGTGCCTCGAAAGTGTTTGATTACAAAGACAGTGCTGTTGTAGAGAACATTGTGAAGTCTGCAAAAGAAGATGGGATCGCAATTGATTTGGCATATGATGCTGCTGGTGCACTACAACCCATCTTGGACATCTTGAAAGCTACGAAGGGTGATAATGTCGCCAATTTGGCATCAGCAATACGATTAAGTCCCCAGCCACCAACTATGCAGGGAATGAACATCAAATTCGTTTCTGCGCCAACAGATAATGCCGAAAGGGACGAATGGTCACAATGGCTTTATTGGACTTGGCTAAAGGAGAAACTGCAAATGGGAGAGTTTGTACCCAGCCCGAGCATCAAAGTAGTAGATGGGGGATTGGAGTCCGCAAACAAAGCATTAGACGAGTTGAAAGGAGGGGTCAGTAGTGTGAAGTTAGTGTTGGAAGTATAAATGATTTTGTGCTGCAGTTAGAACCGTTCTCATCTTTTGCTGAGAAATCGATCAACATTGATAGCTCCACATTCTTCTTGCTGGCTATCTTCCCTCGGTTGCTAATGAATTGTGCTCTTTCGGCCATCTCAATTTTCTTCCGCGATTGTACTGTTTTCTAGATATTGAATGTTTCTTCGACAAGTTGTTCGCTCAGTTTCCACAGTGTCTCAGCATCTTTTTCGCTAGTTGCGTAGCTCCTAGGCTCTGAATTTACTTTCTCGTCAACGATAAACGCCGGAGATAATGCTAGAGCTTCTAATCAGCAAGTTCGACGATAATTGAAGACTGGAATGCACCTTTGAATGCAGGATCCAGTGCGGCACGAACGACTGCCCCAGCTGCTTCTTGTCTTGTTACCATCTTCTGAGGGTGGAAAGATTTGCCTGTTTTCTGGTATGAGTTCTTGGAATAGATACTGGTAAAGCTACTTACCCTCGTCTCTCTCTGTAGCGAGCTTGTACGCCTCTGCAAGCTGCTCTTGATCAATGCTAGAGTTTTCAAGAATTTTTGTTTCGAAGGTGACTTCAATGTTATCAATATAGCTTTTTTGTACAACACCATACATAGTAAGCGACTCACTTCCTGGGTGCACGACTAATGTTGAGACACCTTTATTGGCCAGTCTTTTTCCTAGAGCGATGTTCCAGAGAAGCATCGCAGTCTTCGATTGTCCAAATGCCTTCCAAGCATTGTAAGTTTGCCCTCCCTATGACCGAGGTCCGTTAACCGACGATTTTCGCAATGGGAAAGGAAATAGGTCGACATGCCTCGAAGTTAACGTCATCAAGGTTCACCTCGCCCAATTCATACCCCAAGCTCCCCACATTAACAATTACTGCATCTTCTTCTTTCGCTGCGATAATCCGATCCATCAACAAGTTGGTCAATAGAAAGTGACCCAAGTAATTTGCAGCAAATTGACCCTCAACACCCTGCTTTGAGGTTGTATAGTTTCGTACGCCCATGACTCCAGCATTATTGATGACAACATGTATTTTCTCAATCTCCAATTTCTTGATAGCATCTGCTGCTGCACGGATAGAATCATTGTCAAGTAAGTTTAATGGGATCCAGACAACATTGATGTTGGGGTTCATTTGTCGAATGAGGAATATGACAGAGAGAATTTTTGTTTTTTGGCGACCAGCAAGAATTATCATTGAAGGGTTTGACGATGAGGCAATGGAGAGGGCAATTTCAGCTCCGATCCCTTCTTCACTGGGACCCGTAATGAGAACTATATTGGGTGTTTAGAGTAAAATCAGACATGGGCGAAATTAGGGAAAATGTGAAGTGCATACAGGTTTTGCCATCCGCGTGCTGGGAAAACTGTTTGACCATATCAACGGCATAAGTGCTCCTATTCTGGGTTTCGCTTTTAGCCATAATTAAATCGTTAAGGCGATTGTTTATGTCTTCCTGACGATGTTCGTTTTAGATGTTCAAGCGGGTTTAAAAATTGAAGTTGAGCTCAGAAAAGACGTCTGCGAGGACGATTTTACTCAGAGGGTGCGAGATCGATATATATAGCCAGCCAATCTGCTGTCATGACGGCTGCTTATCGCAACAGTGTGAAGATTACCGAGTGCTTCTCCTTGGTCCCAAGTAATGTACTGCGCCTTTCAGTACATTTCCGTCTCGGCCAGCTTGGTATGTAGCTCTTTAAATCAACTACTTTACGGAAAGATAAGCTTCCAAATTAATTCCTGACCCCGAGTAGTCGAAATCTACGCAGGAACCTTCATCTTTCAAACAAGTAAGACCAACCAGGAGCGTATCTCCGCAGATATAATTTCTGCACTTCTTCACTGTAGTTATGACAAATCTGACAGGGCCTGTAGCTTCCAAGATCCAAGAAGCTTCTACCACAATCATCTGAATTGCAATTTGATTCGCCATAATTTATCTTCAGGGCACCGATAAATGCACCGACAACTCAACAAGTGGACCTTCTGCGGGCTGTGTAAGCCCTACTACTAGTGTACCAGCTGACCGGAAATTCTAGTTTGAATGACTCGAGCTATACGATGCTTGCAGAATTATAAGATTCTGATTCAAAGTTTCTATGCTTCCAGGTCGGCCAAGTCCGAGTTCCAATGGGCCGGTAGGCCTAACAGTTATCCTTGAACTCGAGCCTTTTGTTAAGTGGGTGAAGGCTGATGTAAAACATATAAATTGGTTATGATTTATGGTCTCTTGTCAAAATATAGGGTTCTACGGTGGGTGGTCCACCAGGTCTACATAGCATTGGAACTCGTGGGTCAGAGGAAAGCTTTGTGATTTATCTAACGACATTACATTTGTCTCTCACGTGAATTTACCTCCGTATTGAACACGATGTCGCATTCTGTTTCCTCCCTTATTGAATATTATTGAAATCCCCTGTGAGTAGATTTCCACGGTTTCTCCTCCATGATTCCTCCATAGTCCTATCTGGGAGAAACCACAATTTCTGCCAATTCAATATATGCCGAAGCCATTTCAGCCGCGAAATGCTCTGCTTGCATATCATTTGGTCCATTTAAGTCCGGAGAATCTGCTCTGGTGTCATCTCATCAAGACCAAGCAATTTAAACCAACCATTCAACTCCTTCACGAGATCATCTTTATCCGTGTAAACGGGTATACCCCCAGCCTCTAGGTCTTCCTCGAATGCATTTCGATGGAATGTAGCAATCCTGGTATTGGGGCCACCCATTTGCCTGGAGTAGTGGACGAGCTGCGAGCGCCAATGATAGATAAATTTGTGCATTGTGAGGATGATCTCGCTAACCTTGGATCGTGAGTCTTCTCCAATGTAGGCTATAACTATGAGGAAATGCAGAACTTTGATGCGTTCTTCCGGTAATGGTGCCGGGCATGCAACTGGGTCGATCAGGTAGTAGACGGTGAGAAGAAGTCTCAAGGACCCTTTGTAATCCTGAGTTTTGGTGCGGCAGTCTAGATCAAATTGACCGCCGAATAGACTCATGTATGCTCTTCTTAGACCAGGGCAATCATGGCCGAATCCATAGGATTTCAGATCAGCAATAATTCTGTGATCGATCGATAGTTGTTGTTTCAGTTTCTCCGTGTCGACTTTAGGGTTGTAGTTGTCAATGTAAATTGAAAGCATGCGCTCTCGAAGATCACCTGTCGGTCCTAGATTTCCTCGAATACATAAGGTACATTTGCAATCAAGCTTTTCTTTTCTCATAAGTTCAAGACGGCGGGTTTCGTAGTCATTCCAAGAACTGAAACGGCGGGTAATCTCAGTGTTGGCAGGGATCGCACAATTGGCTTGTAGAATGTATGTTTTTCCATCAAAGTACTCGCGAGTGTTGGCATTGCAATCGTTTCTCATGATTGTGATGAAGGGCTCGTAGCAGCCTAGAAAAATATTTGTTACTACGGTTATTATGCCTTTACTATGAAATAATAGAATGAGCATTATCAAATGAGCTTTACTTACAACCACAAGGAATGCTCGTTGGAGAACTTGTGTTCCAATAACTTATATCATGCCTATTGAATTGGCATATGAATGGTTGGTACATCGGAATAAATTGATGAACGGCCTGTCATAGTGATTAGCAATACTGTGCAAAATATTTGAACTTGTCAACTTACAAAGCAGAGAAGATGGAAGATTGAATCTTCGTGCACAGGCGACTCTGCAAGAAGTTTCATATTCAGACTCAAATTTCTGTAGGAAGTTTCCATAGAAGGTCCATAGTCATATAAATTCCCTATCGGTGCTGAGAAAAAATCCCTCATTGTTGCATCTGTAAGAAGATTTGCCTTAGCCATGCATAGGAATCGGATAACAAAGCGGAAATCCGTACGTTCAATGAAGGACTCTGCCAAGGGCTCTTCGGACAAAAAGTCTACGAAAGTAAGACATTCATGCTTATGATGGTGTTCAAATGCTTCCTTCTGGCATCTCTGTTTTGTGTTAGCTTTTCTAACCAGATTCAACAAAGTGAATATAACGATAATTATAAATCTTACCTCGTCACAGTAGTGGTGCACCCCACAGCTTCCACATTGGTCGAATGGAATAGCTGTCCCGATGTCTCTTTCTACAGTACTGACAGTCCCTACTCCATGCTCCACGCTCTGGTATGCAAAGCAGTTATCGCAGGTTCTTAATCTCGTGTTGATTTGTTCGACCTATAATTATTCAAAAATTAGTATACTTTGAAGCGTTCAGGTTCAATGGAGGGCTTTGAGTTGAGTGAAGTATTAGGAATGTAGGCATCTAGAATCATAGGTCGCTGAGTGAATGAACAAAAAATCCCAATCAAGTCTTTTAAACAAATGATAAAAACTGTAAGAGCTCCGTTTTGTAGAGGATCTCAAAGTCACCAGCGCTTTGCTCTTAATGAATTGAGGTACAAGGTACTCAGTAGATCAATTCCTCGCTCTCAAAGACAATACATAGCCATCTAGAGCTATAGATAAAATCATCTTTGAGAAATCTGAAATGAATGTGTGGTGTGACCCTAAGATTTTGAGGAAATGAAACAATCTTCAAGATTATTGAAACCCACAGACAAGAAAATCGGGAGTATATAGATTGGAATGAATGTGTTTTGAAAGCTTTCCAACCAGTCCGCAAGTACACTTCAAATGAACACTGATCATGCCGTCAAAGGCAGATGTGTGTCAGACTAGAAAGGCCAGAATTTCTTAAAAATATCTGCAGAAAGGACATACAGTCGAACATAAGGTATTGGTTCCATAGGCAGGGACCAAAGTCTGCAGCTTGCGGTTTGTAGATTGTAAGTGTTACAGATATTTGGTTGATCTGATTGAAAATTCGTCTAATCTCAAAGGACAAGTGTACCAAGAGACGATTATGAACGAAAAAGGAAGGAAAGAGGAACATAGAACCACCTACAATGGCGAACAAAGGCTTTTCGATCGTAAACAATATATCTCCAGGGGATACAACCTTATCAACATAAAGACCTTTGTTTTTGGGATCGATGAGAGAGGGGTGGACAGATATTGGAACCTAAGAATAAATATCAGTTCAATTCAATCAAAATGCAATCTATGATTCATCATGTAGGCGGAATAAATACTTACGATACACTCAATACGATCAGGGATGGAATCTTCAGTAACAGTGTCAGGAGAAGGTCTGGGTAGATCATCAATCATATCAGTATCAACGACCAGAGGGGGTTGTTCTGTAGCCATGATTGTGGTACCTGGTGGTTGTTGTGAAAGTTTGTGGAGAGAAAAAAAGAGAGAAAGCAGGGCGCAAGAAGCTTTTAAGACTGAGATAACCAAAGTTGAGGTGAGTTTAAACTTCAGCCAATTGGATTTTTATGTGCTCTGGCATTTTGACAATTCACTGGGACTAATAATGTAGTAAGGGGAATTAGGCACAGGATGCAGCAACCTGCTACCTGATAGATGATCTTCGGGATTTAGCAGTATGATATGCATCTTTTTGTTACTCAAGATTCCAACCGTATGCATAATGTTCTCCAGATACCTCTGCCGCATAATTGAACCCCGTATTTTTGAAACCGCATTAAGTGTACCCCAATACATCATCCAAAGAACCTTATTGACTTCAGTTCAAAAAGACGCTGGCACACAAACATCATGAAGCATGCATTCAACCATATCGTAAGAAAGAGTAAAAATCATTCCTACATGGGATGAGTTTAAATGGCTTTGCGCATATTTTTGTATTGGGGCATATTGTACAATGAAAGTCAAGAGTTCAAAGCAAGTTCTTTGTCGTTTTTGTTGAGCTGGCCCCTGGAATAGCCGAAGTTTCACTTGATGACAACTACTTACTCAGAGACAACAAAGAATATCCAACACATTTCCAATTGTATAAAGTTGAGGGTTGGGTTTCAAAGAGCTGTATGTCAGTTTTGATTCTGAAGAAGCGCAGATACAGGTGTAATCATCGGTTCAAGTGCTCAAGAGCAAAATTCTCGAAATTCTATAGAGTACAGACAGATTGTTGAAACTGCTTTTATCCGTTGATGTGCATCGAATGGTCACTGATGGAGTGGAGAATAAACGGTGACAGCGATCATTTGATGTCACTGACACTATCCCCAGATTTCGGTTACACCCGAGAGTATAAAATGCGAAAGACAACCAATGAGATATCATCAATAAGAGAGCCCATGTCAATTAGTCAGGAACGTAGATGTGCACAGACAAGCTTGATCTCGTCCGTGCTTTGAATCCCTTCCCTCAGCTACCTATCTATTTCAATATGCTCGTTGAAATCTATCAATTACAATGTTTCCATAAGAGACTCTTCATTTATTGATTTCTTGACGACTCGCCATTCCAAATCCTTCAAGCTTAATTTAATTCATTTGGTTTAACATCAACCTCAATGAAGGGTTAGTCGTGATTGAATAGTACCTAGGTAGGAAAAGGGCATAATGCGAGTGTCACTTCTCGCGATAGTGATGGGCCTTCTGTATGGAATTATAGAAGCCTCCCCAGCTCGTAGAGCAGGTAAGTAAATCTTGCTGCCTTCTATTTAAATATTATTTTCATATTGACTTATTCTTTCTCGGAATCTGATACAGTAACTCCAGCGATCATTCCTCAACTGACTCTCCTACTTCCACCGCAATAGATGCCTCTGCCACAAACAAAGCAACTCCAGCGGCAAGAACTACAACCTCGATTACAGATGACGGATTGAACCCATGGGTCACCGTCGATGCCAGCGGACATGCGTCAACAGTTACGCCCATTCTTACGACGATCAATAGTAAAGTCACTACAAGTGATGCTGCTCCAGCACAATCGACTGCTACCAGTGCCTCCCCTCTCTCTGAAGCGTCAACGACATCTACATCTAGTGAAGCGGTACCTACACCGACAGGTGGTGGAGCCTTTGACATCTGCCACAATCTCAAAGGAAAGTTTGCACCGTTTTGTAAGCCAGACAATGGGTCTAGTGTATATGTCGACGAGATATATTATGGTTAGCACTTCCATCTTGTTGTATCGGGCGATCGCTGACATGTGACAGTTACTTGGGATGCTCGGTACTTCGCTGGGTCGAATGTTTCTGTTTTTATACAGGCAAACTATGTAAATGCTTCAGGGGGAGGGGTACAAGCTTTTCAATCAGTGCCCACAAGTAATAATCTTGGTTTCATTGCTTGGACGATAGATAAGAGCTGGTTAAAGGGCATGAAGTTCAACAACGTAACTTTATTTGTCACACCCACCCAGAAAACGGATATTGTTTCCGTACAAGGACCAACAATTATGGTGACTACTTCTCCTGCGCCTGAGCCATATCGTCAATCTCCAAGCAAAGCTCCCCATGGCGCTTCTCTCTATATTGCCCTTCCAACAGTCCTCGCGTTTATTGTACTAGTAATTGGGGGAACGTGGTATTGCAATCGAAAGCATCGCACCATTGGGATGGGTAGTGTGATGGGTCGACGCCAGGGATATGGAACTGGTTCAAGAAGACAAAGAATGGGATTAGGAAAGAAGAAAGATCGAGCAATCATGTTGAGAAACCAAGAGTTAACAGCCAATGGCCAGTATAGGGATATTCCAGCATCAAGAGTAGATGATCCAACGATGCATTATCGCGATGAAACGGGTTGGGATAATGATGAGAATTTCAAAGATGAGACCAGAATATAAGCTGGATCAAGACTCTGATATTCAGAATAAACCCCAGGTGTGTATGATTATGGAAACAGTCGTGGGATATGGACGTAAAAAACGATGATGGCATAGAATTTCACAGTTGTTGGCTCTGAAAAGTTCGGCTTTAGAGTTGTTGATAAACTAGTATAATATTAATAATTTTTAGCTTCAGTTTCTAGGTCTTTGGCATTCAAATACTCTCTGAATAGGTACCCGGGCTTTTAAATCAACGGGGTCTTTTGTGAGTGGCAAGTCAATTCTAGCCCTCACTTGTGATAAGGGTAAATAGCTTCTGTGGTCACCGGGTGATGTACCCAACATTAATATTTGATGAATTTCTCGGTGTCTCAGAAGCTTTCAACACTTAATTAAATTCGAATGTTCAAAAATCCTCATTTCTTAAACTATATTCCGGGGGTTTGAATATAATAGTCGCGCCGTGTCGTTTGGTAAGTGCTTGGGTTTCGGAAAGAATATTATCTCGAAGATATCTCAAACGAATATGTTTTCCTCTATGTCGTCTAGAGAGAAAGCGAGAACTGGCCACCTTTCTTTTCCAGGTGCGTTTCTGCATTGTAGTCATGGGGAATTTGTTCTTCATCTCCTGTCTATCAGGTAATCCTTTTTGAGCGGCTACTGGTAGTCCAGTAACGGTCTGGATAGAGTGAAACCAATTCAGGTGAAGCAAGGTGGAGAGGAATTTGTGAGCTGCTTTGTTTTCTAGAACTTTTTGGTATTGAAAATTGATATCCAGATGCAAGATCTAGGACGATGCGTCGGGATCGAATTTTTGTTCAGGATATTCAGAATATTTCTTCTGTGTGTGTATAGTTCCCCGGAAGAGGACGATTCGAAAAGAGAACACGTGATATATATAATCCAACCGCATATCTCATACGGAGTTCTTGAGGCTTTTGGTTTTGTGAGGTCTATATCTTCTCCCGGTTCACATGGATTTTCCAACTCAGATGAAAGACGACAAACAGATGTGGCGAGGTCTCACATCTCATTCAGTAACTCATAGATTGTCAAGTGTATCTGTACCGCAGAGTTCGTTAAACCCAGTATGATATATCGCAAGTTATCATTTCAATATTCTAAGCCTCCTCCGGACTCCGTCGCATAAGATCACATTACATCCTATTTCCTTCAAATCGGCAACAAACTTTTGATTCTCATTACATTTCCATCATCAACAACCCACGCATCCACCTCCTCCATTAACTCACAGTCTAAACGCACCTCCGCAAACCAAACGACGAAAAATAAGGCTGCGCATGCACCTCATCATTAAACCAACCCACTTCCCTCCCGCACATGGCGTCTGTCCGTCACTCCACTTTCCTCGGAAAGACGCATTTGCATATACATGCAATATGCATGCACATCGGTATCCGATAAGTGAGCAAATGCGGTGTGGAAGCAGTGATACGTATATGTAGCGAAGCTACTGTTGTGCTTCGTGTTACTGGATATGTGGTTGGAAAATTTGTTAAGGGAAGTGGAGGGGAGGGGTAGGATGAGGAGGGATGTTTGTGTCGGGAGGAAATATTAGGTGCGGGAGATTCGGGAAAGAGAAGAGGGAATGTGGATTTGGTGTGTGTGTACACTGTGTAGAGGCTTTTGTGTGTATGCTAAGGGCTGGAGATGCTGCGTTGGTGATACTATACTTGATTACCTGATGGGGAAGAATGAACAGGTGTTTGATGAGCACATCTTCAACTTCGAAGATGGTAGATGAATAGATACAATAGCTTGATAGTTACCGAATGATAATTCTCGCTATTCTTTCCATGTTTGATACAATTCTACCTATCTAACTCTATCCGGTTTCCTCCTCTGCTCCTTCTGCTCTGTTTGCCATTGCACACATGTCATAAAACTTCCATCAAATCCAGACTGGACAAGATTAGCATAATGCACATTCTCAATCCAATATTCTCCTTGTGTTATTCCATTCCACCTCATTCCAGTAACCCTAACCATAATGTCCGCCGTGCCTTCAATTCGTGATGGCTGCGGTGAGAAGAAATAGATGGGCATCACATGCATCTATCTAGTCTTTCCAAGTAAGATATTCTACTATGGTACATCGTAAATGTTTCACCTAAGTCATATTATAAATCTTGATCATTGCAATGTCCTCGTCATTTCGATCTAGTAACCTCGTCATCTCATCACAGTAAGATATCTAGTGGCCCCCAACCCAATCCTTTCATTCACTTGGATTAATTGACCGATCATTATCTTCCCGATTTGGTATTCCATAATAATTGAAGAATAAGAAGCGAAATAAATGATATTAAATAAAGAGCTGCTCCTCTGATCTCTTTCGTGTAATAGCGACGTTCCCCTCTAATCCTCTATATATATCGACCATCGATGGTTTAGTTTCACGATAATCTGATGTGATATTTGTTACATACCAACCTCATCTTATGTGAGAAAGCATCTTTTGTAGAAAAATAGAGGCGCAATCATGAATTGATGGAAATAGGACAACTGTTCATGAATGATGATACTCAATCGTCGCTGAAGAAAGAATCCTAATCTATGAATGGTGGATAGGTACGAAGATACCAACACATGTTGTGTGTGACGTGAGGTAAGAGTGATCTACCGACTGTGGGCCTGTGGCAGTGATGCGACGCTGATGTGAGCTCAGAAAACTAAACGTTGGTAAGATGGCTCGTCTACCTCGTTTACCTTGTACAAGAATAGCGGAATGCTGATGCGACAATACACAGCAACGGTAAAGTTCACGTGATGTAGTTACATTTCCATGCAATGGGATTGGATTCTGGGGTCGAGACCCAAGTACTATCAATGCATTGATTGAACTTTGAATTGATACCTAAAGTTTTCATGTGGCCGTTACTACCTTGCGATCCTGATTTTCTTTCCCAAGAATGATGAAAGAAACTACGTAGGTAAATCAATGGCCAAATAGGAAAGAAAGCGAGAAACCGGAAAATGTGAAATGCATGAAAAGATTTCGTGATTCATGACTCATGACCAATACTCCTTTAGGACGAGAACGATACTTTCCAGCAAGTCCTTTGTGCGTGCAAATTTCCATCCCATCGCGTGGTTAACCAACCCTCCCTCAGTCATCAACCCATGTATTCTCAAACCCCGAACTCGCCGACCAAAATCAACATATCTCATATCTCATATCCCATACTTAATTTCCCAATATCTTAAGCTCATCTGCACGTTTGCAATGATATCACATCAAGCGTGTGATCAAAATTGCCATAGTAACCGTAAACCATGACCCTATTCACATCATCCACAACCACGGAACGCCATCTACTCCACCACCTCTTCACTCCAATCACCCAAACCTGCCTCGCCAAAATGAACCGGTCCCAGCTTCAAGAAACGCCTTGAACTCATCCCTTTTGGTCCATCCACACTAGAAATTGTGTTATTGCTCGCCTCACTACTCATGCTCTCACTCCTCGCCGTTTTTCCCAATTCCTGTTCAATGCTGCCCGAATTCTTGGCACCACCATCCTCATCACCGGCTCCTTTCTCACCAAGCTCCTCACCCCCAATTGTACCACGCGTCTGATCTCCTAGCTGACGCGGCGTCAAAACAGCAGACACTTTGGCCGACTGAGCCACGGGATAACTAGCCGAAGTCTTCGGAGCCAGATACAGAAACGAATGCGAATTCTGGCTCGCCTCTTCAGCGGCGGGAACAAAGTTTTCCTGTCCGCTCATGGCGAGAGCCTCGATTTCGGAAGCAGGCATAGAAGCTCCTGCATGTGTTGGGACTTGGGGGGCCATTTTCTGGGTGCGGATTTGGTAATGTGACTGAATGAGTTTAAATAAATTGAATACGAGAATGTTCCTAGATGCTTGGCTAGGTATGCTATTTTACTTTGCTGTGTCCCGGAAGATTGGTGAGGTAATTTTGGGGGAAGGATTGCGGGAGAAGTTGCTTGGAACGTGTGACGGGAAGGATGTTGTACGAGCGAGATGGGGTCGCAGAAGAGGTCTAAGGAAGGAGGTGGATATGATTTTGGGGTTTGGTGTGGATGAGATGAGATGAGCTTTCAAGGGGGAATTGAAGAGATTTTTGGTTTGAGAGTAAAAAAAGAAAATGTTCCGGAAAAGAATGACAACACTGTCACCTGTCTTTTATGGTGTGATTTCCACTACACTACTGAGCCTTCTACCGCGGTTGAAGCAACTTGAAAGATTTCAACGCCGAATCATGCAGGATTAACGCACGTGCAAGAAAGATTGGCCGGCTGATGAATAATGTGGTAATTGCGTAATCAATGGTAAGAAGTATGATTGCAAATCAAACTTTGTCTTTTTGAAGCAGATTGAAAACATCATTATTCATGCAGATATATGAAGATACATATTGGGGGTATAGCTACGACGACGACGACGACGAGTCTACTTCCCAAAACGGGAAATGGATGTTGTAAAGTCACGAAAACAAATAGGCTCTCCCAAGCTCTCTCTTCGTTCAGTTTGCGAGTGAAGGCTTATTCACATTCTGTTGATTGGATAAACCTCGCCGTCAAGAATAAAGATCGGAATGGCAGAAAGAGGGGACCCCACACAACATCAGGGGTATCCGAGCTTGAGATAATGCCGAGGTTAAACCATTTGTGCTTGTAGATTCGCAACTTTCAATGTGCAAACAAATACAGAATAATAAGAATAGGACATTCATTCTGAGGAGCAAAATGTACATGAACTTCATCGGGTACATTTTCAGTGACATGCTCTCCTAATAGGCGGTGGAAGAGGACATAAACCGATGATATCCTTCTAGCACGTCAAGCCACTGAACAATCTATGTGCTTGATCTCTATATCAACCAATCCACAATCGACATGATATGAAAGAAAGGAACAGACTTGGTTGATGGGTTAAATGAAGAGGGGTAAAAGACCTGCCACAGAGCTAGGGAAAATCGTGAGGTATTAATGGCGAGCAAAGCGCTCAGTAGTCTTCGAAACCTTGCCAATATCACACGCGGCTCGTACAATGCTGTAGATGGCTTAACGCTGAGGCTGTGACATGAAAGAGGCGAGTATTTCTCCTATCTTCGAAGAGAATGCACAATTGTTCATGGGAGAGTGAAGTGTGACTCCCAAACTGCCAACACGAAAACCAACGATGAACGAGTGTGCCCATTGATGAAGACTAATTGGAAGTCTCGTAAAACGCAAGAAAAGGAAGGATGCAAGAAGAAATTTGCCTAAACCAATATCTCCATTCAACTTGTTGCCGGATTTCATCCAGAATGCGAGAAGATCTTCTCTCCTTCTCTGGTGAAAATACGCAGCACTAACAAGAACCAACAAGGTCCTCTTTTTCTCTACTATGTGCTCAGCCTCAATTACGAGACGTCGGCACATAGTTCGTGAAGATGAACGAGCACCAAGAGTTGCTGAACCATGGGATTGGAATGTATACAATCACGTGATGTAAGCTGACCACAGACCGAAGGCAGACGGGCCTCGATTTGGCCTCGAGAATTGTGATGGTGTGCTGATTCGATGTGTTGCAAGACTCACTTATGCAAGAGCGGATTACCTTCTATTAATGATGAAACGGCTGAGGGAGCCAAATGCATTGCGGTTTTGCTATACAGTCAGAAGGCATACATGCATGCTTCAATACGACGTATCGTCCATCAGCAGTAGTGTCCAATTTTTTGGACAAACCAATTCTCGGAAAAGTACGAGTAGAGTAATGTTTGATAGCTAGAATTCCCCTGCGTTGCCTCCCGCCTCCTCTTGACGATGAATATGATCCGTCTTACTATGCACCACGCCCAGAATGCGATTGTGATTTGATTGTGAAGGTTCTAGATGGTGAAGCTCCGCTATGATATCTTTCTTCAACTTTATGTTATCTCCGTGATTGCAGGGCATAGCGTAAACGAGAGTTATGGTGACCCGGTGGACTTCGGATGTATGCACTCGTGTTACGCGACATGTAGCTATGAGCATATCTCATTCTGAAAGCATCATCATTGGTGGATTTCAGAACGATTATTGAAGAGGAATGAAATCATTTTTATTTTCTTTCCCAATGAATCTACGATCCGATTCCGAATTCTCATCAGGTCCGAAAGAGATCAAGGTTCCTATGCAGCAAGCCAGAGAAGAATGTGGATGCAAGTGGTGTCTAAAGAGATTTTGTCGATCTAAGCCGTTGTGCGTGTTCTTGATTATATCACCAAATCATGTCAGAAAGACGATTGCACATTCTTTTGCCTTTTGTCTTTTGTCTTCGTCTGTCTGGTCTATCCGGTATTCACAGGACTTTCATTTCATGATGTGTAGTAGTGAGTGGTAGTGGTAGTGGTAGTGGTAGTGGTAGTGGTAGTGGTAGGTGCGTTGTCTACTCTCTTGTGGTTGTTTTTCGGAGTTCGGAGGTAAGTGGGACGTTTTAAATCGAATAGTATTTAGCCTAGGGTATGTTAGACAAGGGAACCTAGTCAAAGTAAAGTATCTACTCCTCTAGTGTCTACGAAGTAGTGTTTTGTCTAGTATCTAGTATCTAGTGTCTAGTGTCTTGTGTCTTGTGTCTAGTAACAATATCAATTGATCAGTATTGGCATTTCATATTGTCAATTCTCCTCTCTTCGGCTCCGGAACCCTCCTGAATGTCTCGAGTGGCCCCGTCTAGGATACTTAATAATTAATTAGGCACATTGCAATACGGAAGAAAGCCCCCCCCCGTGCTCGTTTCTAAGAAGTGGCTTCATATTGAAAGAAACCCCTTGCGCAACTTCTTGTACTACCATCATTTGACGCGGTCTTGCTTACGAGGAAAGTACAAGGATATTGGGCAGTCATTCCCCTTCTTCTTCAATTTCATACTCACTACCCTTGTTTTCCTCAGACGATACATCGATAATCATTCCACCGGCGTCTATTAATCGCCTCCAATTCGCTGAGCCGCTAACAAACGGACGTCACACATGAGTTCCTGAAAATTTTGAAATTATCCGATGTCTATCACATTGCTTATCGAAGAGACACTGGTTGATCAGGTCATCACCCTATAGCTAATGCAATTTCAGCCAGGCAGCCTGTAGGTAGCAAGCCAAGGGGAATTTCGAAAATTGGAACTCGAAAGGCTCAATCGAGTCAAGATCCTGTATGTCTCCTTTCGCAGAATTAGTCAATCATCTCCCGTATCTGACAGCGGACACGGCTGTGGGTATCCGTCGTCAAAATAACATGACGTCGGAACCCTGCAGAACGAATGGTCTTGTGGCCCCTTGTGACTTGACAGAGTATCGCGAGAGGCTGAAGTGCTGTGATGAACCACGCATATTAAGTTTGAAGCCGTTGGAATCCTTTACATCCCCCATTGTGGAGTCAAGAAATGCCTTAGTGCAGGTCGGGATGCCGATATGCGGGCCGATACCGACTGAAGACTGCAATATGACCTGCTTCAGAATATTGAATATACATTCCTGTTCCTGTAGGTAGGTTTGGTTGCATTGACCAAATCTTGGCCCGTAATTTGATGGCCCGTACCTACATACAATCGTTACACAATAGCCATCTTCGAGAGAGCCGAGATCCTTCTTAGATGTGGTGAGCTTCTTGAAACATCAATGATAGAAATAATTAGTACTTCAAACCATCATCATCCATCCATTCATCCATTCATCATCTTTTGGCTGCAGAAACTTCGAGTCCTGCCGGCGATCTGTGCCTGGTGCCCCCGGAGCAGGCCGTCCAAAAGATTGCCCAATCCAGTCGCAAAACCTTCCTTCGACATCGACAAGTGCCGTATTGTGATCATTTTCAGGGATAAATTTTTAGATGAGAGATAGAAAAGGAGAAAGTAGAGACGTTGCCGCGAAAGTGCATGACATAGTGGCGTTTCTGCCAACAATCGTAGAATTCAATCAATCACGCATATAAAAGTCCGGCCACCTGCCGATGTGAAATGATTCAGCCGTAGGGCAGAGTTGTACTAATTGAATGAGTACGAACGGCGAGCTGATGAATATGTTGGTGATCAGTCCTCGAGGGGCCAATTGTAACCAAGATCGCGGCAACTTAACGTTGGTGAACGTTGGACTGACCCTAGCGATGCAAGCTAAAGAGGAATAGAAAATATGCATAATTGCGGCTGTTGGGTAGAATATTAAATTGTAAGAGAAGTGTCAGAGAAAAAGAGGATACCGGTTAAGATTACTATATAAAAAAAATTGTTTGAAATGTTGGATTGGTTGTAGATTCTGAATTCTTTTTGGATCTGCCGAGTCCCCAAGTCCGTCAGCAAACAGGGCCGACGGTTGAAGGTGGACCATAAGAGAAAACGCAATTGCGGGAGCGCCTGGGACCTTGTTTTCTCTGGGTTTAGAGGTTGGACTTATCACCTAGTACCTTTGTTTAGCTTCGTTGGTTGAATACATCTGATGCAACTTGTTAACCCAGCCCTACAGAAAGATGATCCCTTTGTCGATTCCCGTTGTCGCAAAAAGCGAGAAAAAGCTTCGAGAAGCCTTACGTACTGGAGTACTGTAGTGTATAAAAGTCTTGCTGTGCCATTTCTTGGATTAATAGAAACTCGTAAACTAAATGCTCTTAGGGTGTGATATATTTCTATTTTGGAACAAAAAGTTGGGTTGATACGATCTCAAAGGTAGAGAAGCCTCTTTTCACAATGTCCGCTTGACACATCCACATGGCACCCCCGTAGAATATGATTCATCTAAGGGTTCAAAGCGTCTAAAACCCAGAGATCTATAGGTGTTACGTGAGTTACTAAGGTAGTAAAAAGCCTAAGCCTGCCATTAACACCGTAGTGTATGTTGTGAGCCGCAGTCTCTAATCGGATCTAAGCCGTTTGATTGGAGCATAGTTGTACAAAGACTTAGAGAACTTTGGAATTCTCGATATTTGATTCGACCAATGTTGCGACCCCATGTAGGAAATGGCACTCTTACGGTGGCTTTGGTCTTTTTTCCCTCTTTTGGCGGATAATCAATCAATCGGGCTTGTAGTTTGCGATTTGACCTGGTCTACAGTCTGGTCTGGTGTTATTTGGTGTGGTCATACTCGAAACAATTTAATCAGGATGATAATTTTTATTAAGTGCTAGTTATACTACATACTAAATAAGAATGAAACTAATAAAGTGTCTAAGAGAACAAAACTGGTGAATTTTAGTCGAAAATGAAGGGGGAAAAACGTCAAACCCCCGGTTAAACGACACTACCTAAGCCTAATACAATAGCGAGAGCACTGACTGATGTGATTACATATATGATGAATTGATCTGTCAACTCCAAACCTTCAATTTCGTAAAACCCCCAACTTATTTTATTTCCTTTGCTAGATTACTAGATTATAATAAGATATTTTGCAATGGCATGATGTAGCTCACTAGATATATTCGTTCTTCCAGTTATCTATCCCCACGCGTAGGTTCATTCAGCCATGATCTAAAATCAGTCAACTAAAATCAAGCTTGTGTATTGTGTACTCACGGTAATGTACCGTACTTGGCTCAAAATAGGTACAGCAATTCTGTTTCTTTTGCCCTTGCCCTTTAGTCTCTGCTCTAGTCTCTAGTCTCTAGCCTCTGCTTTCTAGCCTCTAATCAATCTAGTCTCTAGATCTACATTTGCTACTGAAGATGGTTAAGGGTAATTTAGTTGCAGGTCCCATTATTTGGTCCTTGTAACTTTTGCAAACCTTGCAGGTCCTTGCTGCCTCGGGTGGATCATCCATTTTGTAATTTTCAATAATCAGAACGCTTGACTTGTCCGCAACTGCATCGATCCTCCTTTCGCCGTACCTGCAATCTAGGATTGGCCATGTGAGCTTGCGCTTTTAGCTATGGCGCCCTACCGATACCATGTCAGCGATGGAATTGATACCTGCCCGCCTTACCACTACTCTCACTGTGTTCCTTAATCCTCTAGCCAACCGTGTGCGCGGCGGATGACGGCTATTTTCTTGTTGGTATTCACGGAAAGCCTGGTATGATACCTCTATGGCTACAGCTCGATCTGCCAATTCCAACTACATCAAACCTCTTACGGAAAGAACTACCAACAAGAAGGCACACCAGCTCGTCGGCAGGCATCTCCCCCCCTCTCAGACTGACTTCGTGTTGACATCCTGCGATGGATGGCAAAGCAAACAACATTTTCCAAATTGAATGACAGGCAGTACCGTTCACTCGGAATGGTACGACGGTGTATAAAGCAAGCTGCCGTCGCTCATGATTTTAGAGGTTCAACAGCTCCATCATCACTTCTAAGTTCACCACCACACAAATAGCCTACCATCTACAATATATTTATCTGCCAGCTTTCCTCATATAAAAAGTTCCTCAGCAAATACATCATCTCTCACACAGTCGCCATTGTCCAAGTAAGTACCAAACTTTACTTGTGCTTCACATTTTTCTCAAGATAAAGAGTTTCTAGCACTTATCCTTGGCATTGGTTTCCGATGCTAATTCCGGTGTGTCTTGATAGGTCAATTCAAAATTTCAATTACAAGCTCGCGATACTTTCCCGAACAATCACCGCCAAAATGTGCACTCACTACGTCGTCTACAAAAGCTGCAACAGACACTTCGACACCAAGATAGTCAAATGTGCTGCTTGCAAAGCGAGTGGAAGTTGCCCAAGTGGACCAAAAATTGAGACATCCAATGCTGGAGAACCATGTACAAGTGGCTGTCCCTCGTAAGTAAGTGCGACTCCAACATTCCTGCTTAGTCATCTACTGATTAAGGTTAGAGAATATGCCTCCTCGAACCTTTAAACCGTATTCGAAGGCGGCACCTCGGAATTCTCCAATCGTCTCCGACGGGACTAGTCGAGTGGAGCTGGATATTTTGTGGGCATCCGTGCAGATGAAGGGGTTTGGAGCTAGAGGCGAATTTAGAACAGGGTCAGAAATCTAAGGTGCAAAGATTGGTCATGAATCGCTGCTGTAATCATACAAGCATACTTGGGAGTTCATGGGACAATATCTCATTATGTTGTTACTTTTGGGGGGTTTTCGTTCTGCTGTGGTAGATTTTAGTCGACACTTTTTTTCTTAATTACAATCGTCTTTCTCTTAAATCATATTGAATGTAGCAACAACATGTGAAGAGTGCACAAGTGAGGTCAATTTTGCCAAATATGTGAGCCAATGCAGTTTTGAGCAATTCAATTGTTCCACTACCTCTTCCCCAAAGTATGTCCTCATGTTCAACTCTCTTTTCTTCTGAAATTCTGCCAATCGAACATGTGGCGAAAAAGATCATGTACGCTAGCTATGGAGTAAAACTTGAGTGAGGTTGAACAATTTGCCGTGCGGCTTTCTTTGTGTAACTACAGGCCCCCTGAGAGAGCGCGACACCCGCTGTCTTCGACTGACTGATAGTCTTATCAGTCGTATTGCGGCTAATATCCCGCAAGCAACGGGCAACGAATGTGACATGGGCTATCACCGATCGATAAGAAAGGGGAAGAAGCGCGGTTAAGATTCCAGGTCCAGGGATGCAAATCCTTGCATTTTACATGCAGCTATATTCAATCATGTGATAAGGCTGGTCAGAAATCAGGCAATTGCCAGTGGAGGCCTAATCCTAGTTTTCTTTTGGACCGGATATTTCCCTTTTTAGTGCTGACAATGCGGAGAGCAACCACATCTGCGATGTCGCTATCAATGGACCTCGAAATATTGGCAGTTCTTGGTCGTGTCCTTCCATTCACAGAGTAGCAAGTGAAGATGAGCATGTCATAGCGCGTCTACCGCCTAAAAAGAGTGGTAAAGGAGAATTCTTTTGAGTAGAGATTCTGCACCGCTCAAACCCGTCGCGATGATAGCCAGAACTCAGCTATCAGCCAAGTTGTGGAGCTGTGATACCATCGGGAGCAGAAGAGCGGCACGTACTTACGAGGAGCAAAACTTAATGTGATGAGAATATGAGGTGTTACATGCAAATTGAGGAAGGTATCCATCTTCCTATATGCAACATCGTGGCATGTTGAGATGACCTTCTCAAGATAGATAGAACATGATGAGTCGAAAATTCGAAATGAGCGGAGGGCCTCCTCGATGCCTGGCCTTCAAGGCCCAGAGGCATCAGACGAAATTTTTACATGTGTGTTGTAATGTGATGAATTATGCAGGGTAAGGTTATCCTTGCTAAATGTGAGCTCACGGTATGCCCGCTTATGCCGTCAAAAAGTTTTACAAGGAAGAAAAAAAGCGCCGGCTAATTAGACGCAGACTGGCGCGCCAAATAAATCACACGACAGAGAAGCTGAAGATAACTGCATACAAACTAATGCAGGTATATTACTCCATACGTTCTGGTGAAAAACTGACACCAAACCAAATGTTCTTAGACAGATGTCATCCTGAAACTCTTATATGATAGTCTATTATCTTGCGTTTCAGGCAACGTCATCCATATAACATTACAAGTTGGATGCTGGGAGCTGCTGCTGCGAAGGGGGTTTGCGGTAGACGACCCGGACTGGTTCAAATACTAGGTATTCTAATTTCAGGCTTTGTACCCGGAAGGATTTGGAATTTCGACGATGTTCATAGTATTGTGCTGTAACCAGGAATCAAGAAACATGATAAATGATGGAGCTATCTTTTATTAAAATTTCGAGTGATGTAGATCATGACCAGGATTCCCCTTGATCTATTTTCCATCAGCTCGTATACCGATATTTATGGAGTAGTCGAATAATAAAATTATCCGCGGATGTAATAAGTGAGAGGAGTGATTCGGGAAGCATAGGTAATAATTAATAAGATCGAAAGAGGAAAGCGGAAGTCCGGAGTTAGTAAGCATTGGTGGATAGCAATGGAGTGCCGCTATAGCGATCAAATGCTGCTGCTTTAATAACTTCCCCATCTAGATGTCAATTGTCTACCAATTATCATTTTCGTCTACAAAGCACAAAATACGTGTAGGGCATGAACAGCAATGTTAAATAATACCACTTCAACAAATAGAAGGTAACAATAGTTCTTCTCTGTTTCCTCTTCTTCCCGTCCAATCAGCAAAAGGAGTGTTTGTTATCTGAAGCCAACAACATTAGTCCAATTGCGTCATCACTATAATCAACATTATTGATTGATTGATCGATCATATCGGAAGAAGAAGAAAATTCATTGCCAAATGTCTATCGACCTCAATTGGGAGACATTGACTACCGGGCCAGATGGGATTGCCCTCGCAGAAAAGATCCGAGACTTTGTACATACCAAGTTCCAGACCGTGACTTTGCCCCGCTTCATCAAGGGTGTTAAAGTGCACACATTTGAATTTGGCTCAATTGCTCCAGAGGTTGAACTAAAAGATATTTGCGATCCATTACCGGATTTCTACGAAGATATCGATGACGACTATGTAGAAGATGACGAAGACGAAGAGAACTCTGAGAATTCTCAAACTGATGAGGAGAATGAAGTCGCCAAGACTTTGCGAGAAAGAAGGAGGATGGACCGAGTAGAGAGGACGGCAAATGGTTCATCACGTACATCGACCCCTCCTGCATATATTGACACACGGTATCCTGGACTGCGATCAATGCAAGCTTCTGGTGACACCGGAAGTCCCTTTTTAGGTGTTAGCACACCTGGTATTCCAGGTGGAACATCAAATTTGAGTTATTTCCATTCTCAATTAGCCAGTGGATTATCTGGCACTCAAACCCCACTAGCCGCGGTTGCCGGTGCACATCTACCTCAAGGATGGCCGGACCGACCTAGCCCATCTCTACATCTATCCGCTCTCCGTAATCAATCTCATACGCCTTTATCTCACACAACGAGTGAAAGGTCCATGACTCCTCCGCAAATTGCGGATCTGAGCCAGCAATCGCTACGCGAGAAGACCAGTGTATCCACTCTCGCTGCTTCGTCTTCAACAACTAGACCAGCAACTCGAGACGGCGCCCCCGAAAAAACGATACCAGAGGAACACGTTGGCGAAAGCGAAGAGCCAACTTCACCACCACGGAGATTTCGAGAGCCCAAGGTGGAAGATCTTCAAACTGTATTCCGAGTCCGATACTCTGGAAATATTCGACTTTCACTCACGGTCGATATCTTACTTGACTACCCTATGCCAAGCTTCGTGGGCATTCCTGTGAAATTGAACATCACGGGGCTATCGTTTGACGGGGTTGCTGTCCTAGCATACATCCGCAAGAGAGCTCATTTCTGTTTCCTATCGCCTGAAGATGCATATGCTGCTATTGGGGCAGATGAGAAAGACGCAGATGCTTCGGCTGGAATGAAAATGGGAGCTCTTCTGCACGAGATCAAGGTTGAGAGCGAAATTGGGCAAAGGGAGAATGGCAAGCAAGTACTCAAGAATGTGGGTAAGGTAGAAAAGTTTGTTCTTGAGCAAGTCAGACGCATCTTCGAGGATGAATTTGTGTACCCTAGTTTCTGGACATTTCTGGTATAACATTTCAAGGGAAATCAAATGACATTCATTAAACAACTTCGCCAACCCAAGATTATCAATAACCAACACGATCCTCCAAGCGGTTTGAAAATGAGCACAGCTCAATGTGAGGATTTCCAGGATCTAGGATTAAATCAAGTCGGTTTGTGAATTATATGATGAGAGGAACCCGGAGCCCCTCGTCCAGTAGAGCCCCTATACACGAAATAGATATCGCTTGGTAATTAGCCTTTACACCGATGACTCCTGTGACAACCTGGCAGACTTCTAAGCTAAGGTCGCCTTAAATCCTTGATATGCCGAATTCATGTCCAGTTCCAATTCTCGCGCTTTATCCTCACTGACCTCATCCGTTGCCCTCATTTGATTCAAAGCAATGAGCCACTGAACAATCTTCCCCCTGCCCTCAAAGTCTTTGTCTGTAACCTTATTTACACTTTGTATGACATCTGACAATAGCGGATGTAGTTGATCCTTCGCCAATAATCCCAATTTAAGTGCATCCAAAAATGTTATAAAATCTTGTGTCGCTTCGAGAATTAACGTTCCGTTAGTAGCGCTGTTGTTTGAAGTGGAGGCATTATGTGATGGTGCAGTAACGGTGCTAGGTAATCCAATTCGAAGTCTTTCCGTGGCTCTAGGGACATCTATCTGTAAAGAGTCGCACTCAGTTATCACGTAATTGAAAATCGATTTCCGGAATATACACACATCCCATTCACTCTTGAAAGTCTCTAAATCCACAAACTCCCTAGCTACACTTTCGTCTGCTAATATAGCTTTGTATTGCTTCAATAACCGGTCGCAAGTCTCAGTGTAATCTGATTCTGGAATCGCATCCTTAAGATAGGCTCTTTCGAGTTGATCTAAAGTGATTATGATACTAAACACTTCTGCAAGTGAGTCTTGAAGGTCGCGCTCTGCTCTAGACTCGGCGAGCTTCACTTCCTGAATTTGGGAATGAGCTGGGGCATTCTCAAACAGAGAGGGATATTTACCTCATCCAAATTTATGGTTGCGGATAATGCTGTGTTCGGTATATAACTGTGAGGTGTAGGCGCATACGCCGGCTGTCTGTTTTGATACATATTGTTTATGGAGTTCGATTAATGTCTTCGATGAGCTTGGGGGTCTATCGTAGGTTGTTGGTGGGGGAAAGCTTAGGCTGTCGCAATCGCGTCTGCTGTGTAACGAGTAACATTTTGTAGCCATGAAACCCCCGAATCAATGTATAAGACAAGTTTTGTATGTGAGTGTCCGTCGAGATACTATCATCGGCGTTGAACTCTATCAAGAAGCTAATATATCGAAGAGTTTAAGATATCTTGGATAATTGCTTTGCTGCGAGAAAGATTACCGTGGTTGTAATTGATTAATTGAAGGTTCCTGGTAAAAGCTACGGAACTCTCACCGCTTTTGATATGCTATATCCGTACTAGCTTATCGCTGTAAAGATTTCCATCTCAAAAAAATCTTAG